TTCTTTGAGATTTCGTACATCATTTCGTAACGATTCAATTTGCATAAGCAGTGGCTCTATTGCCTTTGTAATAAGAATTTCGAACTGTGATTGCGGGATAAGTAATTCATCTGGTTGCGATTGAAGAACACTATTATCAAAGTTATCACTATTATCACAACAATTAATACGCGTTTCACTTATTGTTTTTACGTTTTTTAGTACTTTAACACAGCTAGGGTGGCTTAGTGACCCACATTTAATACATGTGAGACCAGCTACCGGCAAAATTTTGCACTTTTTACATGGTTATACGGGGAGACCCGGAGACACGTCTTTATTCTGCGACATCATACCAAGAACTTCGTCCTTTTTCGTCCTGTTTCGTCTTTTTCGTCTTTTCCGTCATTTTTCGTCCTTTTCCGTCCTTTTTCGTTCTGTCTCATCCTTTTTCGTCCTTTTCGTCCTTCTCGACCTTTTCGTTCTGTTTCTTCCTTTTCGTCCTTTTTCGTCCTTTTCGACCTTTTCGTCCTCTTTTGTCCTTTTTCATCATTTTCGTCCTTTTTCGTCCTTTTCTTATATTTCGTCCTTTTCGTCTTCTTCATCCTTTTTCGTCCTTTTTCGTCCTTTTCGTCCAATTTCGTCCATTTCGTCTTGTTTCGTCCTTTCTCGTTTTTTTTTTCGTCCTCTTTCGTCATTTTCGTCCTTTTTCGTCCTTTTCTTATATTTCGTCCTTTTCGTCCTTTTCATCCTTTTTCGTCCTTTTTCGTCCTTTTCGTCCTTTTTTGTCCATTTCGTCCTGTTTCGTCCTCTTTCGTCCTTTTCGTCCTTTTTTGTCCTGTTCCGTCTTTTTCGTCCTTTTCGTCACTTTTCGTCCTTTTCCGTCCTTTTTCGTCCTGTCTCATTCTTTTTCGTCCTTTTCCTCCTTCTCGACCTTTTCGTCCTGTTTCGTCCTTTCCGTCCTTTTAGTCCTTTTTTGTCCTTTTTCGTATTTTTCGTCCTTTTCGTCCTTTTTCGACCTTTTCGTCCTTTTTCATCGCTTTTCGTCCTTATTCGTCCTTTTTCGTCCTGTCTCATCCTTTTTCGTCCTTTCTCGTCCTTTTCGTATTTTTCGTCCTTTCCGTAGTTTTTCGTCCTGTTTCGTCCTTTTTGGATTTTTAATACAAACATATCTCCTGTTGGAATCGAGGGGTTATTGGGACGCCCTGCCACGACTCCAAATTTGCCAGGGCTAATGCTATACTATAATAAGTATGAAGTAGCGACACATTAATAATATGTAAGGTACGAGACAAAAAATTATCACGGTGCAGAATTTTTGCCTAAATGTATTAAAAGAAAGTGAAGATACCTGGTTGATTGAGCAATTCCATTTTTAATTAATTTAATAAAACATTTTCACAGAAAACACTAAACTGAACGAAATTTATTGAAAATATGTAATTTTGTTAACAGACTTATTGTGACAAATTATTATCACGCTTAAAAGGGAAATAACTAACTAACTAAATGAAAACTAATTTAATACCCAATGTATTTTCCACCTGCTTCTATGAGATTGTAGACGCGTTGCTTCATAGAATTGACCAAATGGATGAAGTAATTGACGTCCAAATTCTCCCAAGCCCCCAAGATACCATCTTTCGATTCATTAACTTTTGCGTACTGCTTCCCATCTTTATAAACCTCTCGTACAAGAGAACTCCATACATTCTCAATAGGGTCAGTGACTATGTATTTAACTCTATACTCACTGATAGGGTTGAGATGTAGGCTTTTCGCAAGGTATTATAGCAAAGCTATATTTTGTCGTTGAAACCACGTTTTCGATGAATTAGACACATGAATCGACGCATTATTTTGCTGAAAAATCACTTTGCTGTCTTGAAATAGGTTCAAAGGTGGTTTGAGGTGCATTTCCAACACATCTTGGTAATTCAGAGAGTCCATTCGATTTGATTAATGCTAAGTTATTATTTCCTAAGCTACTAAAGGCACCCCAGACCATAACATTGTCACCTCCTTGAACTCGTTTTGACAAATACTTTGGTTCTTTCCGTGAATCGTGCCAATAATATCTAAAACTATCAGGATCATCAAGATTAACTTTCTTTTCATCTGAAAAAACTATCTGGAACCATTCTTCATTTTTCGTCTGCATTTCTCTGGTCCATTCACGACGTTTTTGAATATGTTCTTTTGTTAACATTTGTTGTTTCTTATATTTGACATATTTAACATTTTTGTCATTAGCCAGTACTCGCAAAACTGTTCTTTTGTGAACAGGAAGTCCTAGGGTCGTCTTTATCATTTGAGACGACATGTTATCCTTTATACCCGGAGTCACAATGGATCTTTTGGCACGTGCAGTGAGTTTTTCTTTTCTTCCACAATTTTGTCGTCCATTTTCACTGTATTTCTTTCTTACAAACTTGGAGATTCTGGTCCGATCTCTTCCAATCTTTCATCCTATTTCCGCAAAAGTCAAACCTTGGTCATAGTATGCCTCAATCTGTCCTTTTTCACGTTCTGTTAAATCGTTTTCTTTGCCCATGGCGAAAGACAATTATTGTAGCTCAGCCAATTATATTTCGACACTTTATCAGTTCTAACAAACAATTGCACATCGTGCATATCATACAAATAAACAACAATTACGCATACTACGTTTTTCTAATTGATTTTTATACAAAAAGTGATGCGTGATAATTTTTTGTCTCAAAATTTCTTGACACAATTGAGTTTTCACAGATCAGAAATTATTTGATGCAAAAATATCACTGAAAAAAGCATTTTGTATACTAAATTAACTTCTACTGGGTGTATTATTTAGTCAAAGGTCTAGATAATAAAAAATTCTTAAAAAATTGCACCGTGATAATTTTTTGTCTCGTACCTTAGTATATTAAGTATTAAGAACGGTAAGGGGTGTTTACTGGTCGAGGGCAAAAGTTTGGAGACCAATTTGTCTGAGACCAGTAAACCCCCTTAACGTTCGTGATGCTTATACTATTTTTTGTACGACCATCAAAAGATTTGCGTCTTTTTATCAAATTCATAATTTGAAAGAATTTATATCAAACATCAACAAGGTCGTTTTTTAATTTAAAATTTGTTACTATGGTTTCGATTAATATAAACAACAATTTTAAAAATCAGCTTCCATTTTGACGGCTGTCGATTTAGATTTGATCTGGGTTGATTTCGAGTTAATTTTCTTTCCGCGACTATTAGTGAGTGATTTATTTGCTTAAAATATCAATCATGAGTGATTCTGAAAGCGAAAATGTCGAAGTCGAACACGCATGGAATTTAAAAGAAAAAAAATCTTGAATGCATGATTACTTACCGTTCAGCTGAACAGTAAGTAATTTACTTACCGTTCGCCTCTTAGTTGTTAGTCGTAGCAATAGCAACCCGTAACCTGAACTTACTGCTATGGAAACCTGTGCGGTAAATGATCAAAAAAGCAATGGTCGTACAAAAATATGTATTAACAAATTGATTATTTTATCCAAGGACTGGATTAATCGTATTTAAAGGTGTTTGTTTTGCTTGCTTACAAGGTCGGTACATGAACTTTAGCTGAGATTTCATTACTGTTTATAGTAGAGTTAACTGTAGAGCGAATAATCGCTGTATTGTGTATCTTTGACTTATCTATTTCACATAAACTGCCGTGTTGTATGTGCGTTGGTGTCATCACTTTCAAGAACCCAAAACCTTTTTGGGGAATGCAGCACACTGTAATTTCTATATCCATCCCTTGGAACAGAAAGTGGATCATATATTTAACTTATGCCAATTTAGACAATCGAGAAAAATATTTTATTTTGATTATGCAAAAGAGAAATTCTACCACAGTGTGTCAAGGAATAAGTAGTGGGTAATGAAAAGATATCTTGAGACTTTTCGATAATTTTGACTGTTTGCAGAGATTGCTTGTTGTCAAACGCCACTACAAAATCGTAGTAACGGAATTGTTTTTGTACAGTCCATCTGTTTCAATTTTTCCACGACATCGTAAAACTCAGTATCTCTTTTTTCCACCACTGATACTTTGCATTATGCTGTGAGAAACAAGAACAACAAAGCGCTATCTCATTTTAACTTAAGCGGATGTGCGAAATAAAAAACACATAGTGTCGGAGTGAAACCCAAAATTTGACAGAGGTTCTCAAACAGTTACGTATTATTGCAGGCTTTATAATAACAGTTTTTTGTTTGAGAAATTTAGAACCGCCCCTAAAATGCTAGGCAACACGTACCATCTCAACTGCAATGATAGAAAGTGAGACAAAAATAGTAACGTTTGAGAAGTATTATCTGTTACGGTTTTACAAGACTATTATGCATGTTTCGAGAGGAAGAGAGGCGTCATGATTTCCCAACTAAGAATTATAAAATATTTATCTTCATGACAGTTATTTCAAAAAACAGTTTTCTTCGTGTTTACTTTGTGTTCTTCTCGGAATTATTTATTGTTTTATTCTTTAGTACACCACCAATTTTGGTTATCTTTTCCAGTCAATAGTTTAAATCCTCACTGAAATGAATATGTATAAATAAATAAATAAAAGTCTTCGTTTGGTGACATAGTACAAATGTGAGCATTAGTACAGTCTCAATGTCTGAGTTGTTACATTATAAAAGTAGTATAAGCTGATTCAAAGAAAAATCCGTCTAGTAACCCTGACCTTCATTGTTAACAAAATACATACAGATAACGTTGACTTGTAATCATAATTAACACTGTGTTGCCATCTAAACTACTAAAATTAATGATTAATTATTGACATATTTATAAATTCATTTTTTCAAAAGATAACAATAATTACAATATGTCTGACACATATTCTCTTACGTAATTAATTACTTTATTTACACAAGCGTTGCGATTAAAAATGCTTAATTGTTCTTAACAATTTAAATAGTTCATAAACCTAATAAAAATAGGCTATTAAAAATATCTCTGTCACTTTCTTGGCAACATACGTCTTACGCAATATTTAAAACACATCAGACGTTAGTTTTCTCTCCGCTTAAAATTAACGCAGACTCATTGTTGATCTTAAAATAACACGTGTACTGCAGCATCAGTGTGGATTAAAGTAGATTCACATATTCATTAACTCAGTATCACACAGAATGACGAACCCACCAGTTTAGACGAAGTACAAAAAAAAACTGTCAAAATGTTTACTGAAAGCATAACAGTTAAAAGTGGTAGCCATAATGTAGTAGTAGAGAAAGAAAAAGACTGGTTTCAAATTCTCGCAATTTTTTTAGGTAAGTATTTAGATTACTATTATTAATTAGGTATTGATAAAATTATATGTATTTTAGCATGCATCTCAGCACTGACTGCTGGCATGTTGTTCTCATGGTCATCGCCTTCAATTCCAAAGATCGTAGAAGACAAAGTTAACTACAACATAACACTTGATGAAGCTTCATATTTTACGGTTTTACCCCCCATAGGTGCTATTGTTTCGTCATTCCTTTTTGCAGTACTAAGTGATTCTATTGGACGAAAAAATACTCTTTTGTTAGTCGCCATTCCACACATAGTTTCTCTAATTCTCATATCGACAGCGACATCTGTTTACGTATTCTATGTAGCCAGATTTATTACAGGCTTTGGTGATTCATGTCTCTTCTCCTCTCTACCTGTGTATGTAGGAGAAATTGCCACCCCAAAAGTCCGAGGACTATGGGGCAATCTCATGACTTTCCTAATATACTTTGGTCAAGTCTTGATAAACATCATAGGCAGTTATACCTCGATTCCTACGGCTGCCTATATTTGCCTATTATTCCCCACACTATTCTTCTGCACTTTCATCTTTATGCCAGAATCGCCGTACTTTTATCTGATGAAAGGTCGAACGAACGATGCTCGCATTTCACTACAAAGACTTCTCAGAAAACAAAATGTTGAAAACGAGTTGGACAAGCTCAAAGCTGACGTTGATCGCCAAATGTCAGAATCCGGAAACTGGAAAGACGTTTTCATGATAGACAGCAACAGAAAAGCGGTTTACGCAGGAATCTTCTTGCGAGCATCTCAACAATTAGGTGGAATTTCATCTTTCGCTGTTTATACACAATACATCTTTTTGAAATCCGGTGGAGACGTTTCAGCCAGTACATCTGCGATTATTTTCATGGGTTTATGTACTGTTTTAAACCTTTGCGCAGGAGTAACTTTAGACAAAATAGGTCGAAGAAGATCCTACTTTTTGTCGTTGCTGATGTGTGGTATCGTCTTAATGTGCGAAGCGATTTATTTCTTCCTCGATCAGTTCTATGGCACCGAAGTTAATGTACAAATCGTTAATTGGATACCTCTGGCAGGAATGATTTTATATGTGTTCTTCTACTCATTCGGTCTTGGAATAGTCCCGACACTAATGTTGGGTGAACTTTTTTCAGCCAGTATTAAAGCAAAAGGTTTAATATTGTTGAATGTTGTGTTTGGAGTTTTAGTATGTTGTACCACCAAACTTTTCCACTTGCTTGATACAAACTTTGGTTTGTTTTCTCCGTTTTTATTTTTTTCTGTTAGTTGCTTTATATCAACCGTGCTGGCCTTATTTTTTGTTCCCGAAACAAAAGGCAAAACATTAGAAGAAATTCAGCAGTCTTTAAAAAGCAACAAATCGAAAGACAACAAAAGTGGTGTTTAACTAACTACTAAAATAAAATATATTTTTAATAATGCAGCTATTTTCTTGATTTTTATGAGTTTTAATTAAATAAATATATTATATATGTACCTACAGGGTGGGTCATGAGGTGCGTGGTTCTTGAAATTTCAAAAAAATGACAATTATTATACTAGACTAGTTTTTTCGTACTGGAGGGGTCATGAAACGTCGAGAAAACATGAAAGTGGCCATTCGTCCGATGGACTCGATTACTATACTTCCTTAGCGTACACTCAGGAAGCGTGTTCAGATGCAACTGGTGGACCGCAAACGTTGGAAAAGTACTGCTAAATAAAACACAAAATATGGAGGACACAAAATCATTTATTTCTCCGGTGCCAAAAAAAAAGAAAAAAAAACTGCGACTAAATTGTGCCGGTTGAAGACACTTCTTAATGCTCAGCTACAAAAAAACTTGCCTACCTTTGAATGAAATCAAATTAAACGTTCTGAATCAGTGCAAATATTTGAATATCATAAATGTAATAAAAACAAAGAACAATCTGAGCGGAGTTTGGGGCTCCTGGTTGTGGCTGTTCTCCGCCCACAACGGTGATTCTATTCTATTAGCAAGGACTGCGCATCCACCACGTGTTTCTGTGTTATTTACCTCAATTCCATTTAAATGTTCACTTTCTATGACCCTAATATAAACGACAACCGAACAAGTGTTAAAGTTTCAAAAAGAACAATTAAATTGGCCATACACTCTCGCGAACTTTTAAACAGCAAAAAATTCTTATCTGAGATTAAGACAATTTATATGATGGAAACATTAATCAACAAAATATTTACATAAAAAAAAAACTAGCAAAGATTTATAAAAACAAAAAAGATCTGGTGTGAAATAAAACTTGTGCAGATAAAAAAATTACGTGAGATTAGGAACTGCAGAATATGAAAATTTGTGTTCAATTTATATTATACAACAAAAAATTTACTGAAGTTAAAATTGTGTGATAACGAAAAATTGCATGAGGTGAAAATTTGGAAAGCTAACAAAATTACATGAGCTTAATATTTGCCACTCTTTATCAACGATTCAAACAAAGAATTTACCTAATGGTAAATTATGCCACACTTTATCAACGACTCCAACAAAGAATTTATCTGATGTTAAATTAAACGTTGAGAGAAAAATGTCTCGATGATGTAATGATGATAACGATGATAACTGCCTACGGGGAAAATTTCAATCCTCCCATACCTCAGTCCACGATATTATGAATTCTACCGCACTTTCCAGAGTGGGACAACATTAGGTTAATTTAACCGCCGTTAATGGTTGACTGATAAAACTGAAAGTTTTACCAAATATGTATTAAATCGAACCAAATAAATGATTAAAATAACAGACTTAAAACTTGTGAAATAAAAAATTTATTGAATAATGTGTGAGTTCACCGTGATTTCTAATGCTCTTAAATATAGGCATCCAGAAAACTTATTTATAATTTGATAGACAAAGGATGAGTCCTGATTAAGTGAATCTCATGAAATCTTCTAGCAAGTGCTGTATCTAAATAATCTCCTGACTGTTAAATTGTGTTAGAACCAGTTAACGATTAAAATCATGACATGAACTGTGAATTTACAATGAATCAACTTTACATGTGTTAGACGTCAGTTGAAAATTCACCTATTGATTCAGCCAAATTAAAAATTAGTAGATTATTAGAACAAATTGGTAACATCTTTCGGATGATTTTGTTTATTTTTCACTTTTTCCGCTTCTGCTTTAAGTGCAACGATTTCGCTTTTTGGTGCTCCAATAATAGTAATGATCACACGTCCATCGCAAAAAAATGAAGTTTTTTGTTTTTATGGGATAAACGGTTGTTTTCAGTTCTTGAGATTCCAATGCAATCAAGGTGTACTGGTAAGCGACACATATCACAATGTACACTCTCGGATTCATTGTAGTTTTTCTTACATTCACTTACTACGTGGACCAACCATTTTAGACACGTCTGTACCTCACAGCGGTACACTCACTCTTATCACATATTTCCAAACTCTTAAAATTCGAACAAAATATGATTTCTAGCTAAAATTTCATAGTTTCCTTGGTATTTTCGGGCCCACTGGGTGTCTGCTAGTCTAGAAAACAGTAGAAAACGCTTGAAAAATAGCACTTTGTGGAGACCAGATTTGAATTAAAATTTCGCACTGAATTTGAAAAAAAAATGCAATCAAGAAAATCGTTAAACGTAGGCAACCATGTGCACGTTTAGTTTTTTTTGGTAGTTGGTAGCTCTCCTAGGGAATTTTTCGTTGAGAGGGTTGGTAGAGGATGATTTGGTGGCTAGAGACAGAGGGTGAGAGGCGTCCCTTTTGGTTTGTTTGTTATGAGTGAAACCACGTGGAGAGTTAGCTAGGTTAAGTTTAGTTGTTTTGGTAGTCAATAAAAAAGAGGAAGCCTTTGTTTAACGACAATTAATCGAACCGATTGCGATGCCACAATTTTCCCAAAGCGTGGTGTAAATTTGTCTTGTTGTTTGTAAATTGAGAGTTCATGTTAGGATTTGAATCATTAACTGGTTCTAACACAATTTAACGGTTCTGACATTATTTAGATACAGCACTTGTTAGAAGATTTCATGAAATTCACTTAGTCAGGACTCATCCTTTGTTTATCAAATCATAAATAAGTTTTCTGGATGCTTATACTTAAGTCTTACATTATAACACTTCTTAATTAAACACACAAAATTGCTAATAGTGCTTTTACGGCAACCTAACGTTGTCCCACTCTGGGAAAAGGACCGTGAAAGTACGGTAGAATTCATAATTTCGTGGACTGAGGTACGGGGGGATTAAGAATTTCACCTTACCAACCATCTTACAGAATTGTACAATTTTTCTGATTTGACACCAGGTTTTATTACTGTGGACAGATCGTCCATCAACAATGTCAATTAAATTGGTAGTAAAATTCATCCCTGAACAACACCTCGTTTGCAACAACATAACTGGTGATTTTATTGTTTAATAAAATTTTAAGTTGGCAGGAGTGTGGTGTGTGTATTGGCTTCGGTGTTACTTTTACCTTCTTCACAAACTACTTTAAGCTTTGCTTAAAATGTAGGTAAAATTCCAGGAATTGTGTCGGAGGCTTCAGAAGTCACGGTTATTTATGGTAGCAAGTCCTTTTGACTCAGTACAGAGGAAATAATTACTTATTTAAACACACTCGTTGGATATTTATGAGATTTTAGGACCGAATTATAGGGTTCTTATGGTAACAATGGTCGTATAACTCGAGACGATTTTATTAGGTAGAACCTTCACCAATTATTCTTGAAACTTTGAAGTCGCATTTTGACCAATTTTTGGACAATTTTAGACGATAAACACGCTATAGTTTTTGAATCAGCAAGTCGAGATCTGTATCGCTGAATTTTTGGAGAATTTTTTAACAACTTTTTCAAAAATTGAAATTTTTTTTCCGCTATACCGGGTGTCTGGAAAATGGCGGATTAACCCTTCAGTACGTTTGTACGGGGGTTTCGGGAGTCCCAGAAAAATAATGAAAAAATTCTTTATATGTTATTTGGCATTATCAGCCTTATCTTGGCAAGCACTAGCCCCGCCCACCCACTCTTTATTTTTTTAGAAGGCTAGTACCTGCTCAGATAAGACTGATTTTGGCAAATAAGACAAACAAAGGAAATCTATCTCCCAGATTTTTTTGTGAAGTTTTAAGTAACTTAGGGAAAATCTCCATTTTTAATAGATTATGAAATTTTTTGTTTTCTTTTTTTCGAGTAATTTCAAAGCTTAACACACGGGATTTTGTGTTAAGTTCGATCCTCTGAAGCTTTTTACGACTTCAGTCCTTCGAAAATTCATACCATTTTTTTTAAATATGCACAATGAAATCGAGCAAATTTTGAGATATTTAACAAATTTGACTTTGAAAGCGTATATTTCGAAAAGCAATCGTGGTATTGATATGGAATTGTTCGTCCTTATAGACCCATCATTTCTGTGTAAAGCAACATACCGTAATCTTGAATTCAGCTCTTCGAAGTCGATTTCCCAAAACTTTGTGTTAATTTTTAGACAATTCGGCAAAATTTTCAATTTTTTTCCGTTCAGAAGCTAAAAAATAATTACTTTTAGATCGATCTGACATGACAGACTTATCATTGTTTTAACTTCCCAAGCCAAGTTAGTTTTAAGTTTTCTCGATGTTCCAAAGCCCCTAGAATATGAACAATAGGTAATAATTAGACCAATTATTTCCAAAATTATCCTACCGATTGTTGTCAAATTTTAGATATAATTTTGTGTTATCATGTAGTTGGTAAATCACTTTCTAAGATTTGTCTAATTTTGTTTGACATTAGTTTGATGGGCGGGGCTAGTACCTGCTAAGATAAAATTAATTTTGGCCAATGACATACCTTCTAAGAAAATAGAGGGTGAGTGGGCGGGGCTAGTAGCTGCTAAGACAACACTGATTTTGGCAAATGAGATACCCAATAAGAAAAGCGAGGGCGGGTGGGCGGGGCTATAATCTGCTAAGATAAAAGTGAATTTGGCAAATGAGATACCCTCTAAGAAAAGAGAGGGCAGGTGGGCATGTCTAGTACCTACTAAGAGAAAAACCGATTTTGACAAATGACATACGATGTGGGCGGGGCGAGTACCTGCTCAAATAAGGCCGAGTTTGGCAAATGACATACTCTTTAAGAAAAGGGGGGGGGGGCTAGTATTTGTTAAGAGTGATTTTCACAAATGACATATTCTCTAAGAAATATGAGGGCGGGCGGGTGGGGCTAGTATTTGCTAAGATAAAACTGATTTTGGCAAATGAGATAGCCTCTAAGAAAAGAGAGGGTGGGTGGGCGGGGCTAGTAGCTGCCAAGGAAACACTGATTTTGGCAGATGAGATACCTTCTAAGAAAACTGAGGGCGGGTGGGCGGGGCTATAATCTGCTAAGATAAAAGTGAATTTGGCAAATGAAATACTCTCTAAGAAAAGAGAAGGCGAGTGGGTGGGGCTAGTACTTGTTAAGACTGATTTTGGTAAATGACATATTCTATAAGAAAATAGAGGGCGGGCGGGCGGGCGGGCCGAGTATTTGCTAAGATAAAACTGATTTTGGCAAATAACATAAGCTCTAAGAAAAGAGAGGGTAGGTGGGCGGGGCTAGTCCCTGCTAAGATAAGTCTGATTTTGGCACATCACGTACCTTCTAAGAAATTAATTAAATTATTATAAGAAAGGGCACTAGAGGCTCCATGGCACTTTCAAATTCTTTCCAAACGATAATATCTACAACCTCATTTTGTTTTCAATTTTTCAAAAAAAAAAAAAAATAATAAAACGGGGTTCCAAAATTAAATCAAAAACAGGTCGGGTCAGAATTTTTCAAAAATAGAACAGCAAACTCGCCAAAAATTGTTTTAAATAATTAAAAAAAATCTCCATGGGTCCCCAAAATAATACACCATGGATACCCAAGAGTCTCCCGAATTAAAAAAAAAACAAGCGCACTCAAGACTTTTTCAAATTCGTAAAAAATAAAACACTATTAAAACTCAAACAATTTTTTCAAATTCATCCAGAAACTGAACACCAGATTCTTTTAAATTTATCCGAAAATAAAACACCAGAGGACCTAAAATTAGCTGCGCAAATTTTAAGACGCTAAACATTTTTAACTGGTTACTCGATTTTTGCTGATTTGGTACTAACCCCAGTCGCCCGCTCTCTATTTTTTTAGAAATTATGTCATTGACCACAATCACTTTTATCTTAGCAGGTACTAGCCCCGCCCACCCGCCCGTTCTTTTTGTAGAGCCTATCTCCTCTGCCAAAATTACTCTTATTTTAGCAGGTACTTCTAGGTAATCTAAAAACAAAAAATCACTGACTTTTGGAGAATGATATAGACAGGATATAGAAGTCTTGATGTTGTCAGTTTGAATATTGATTGCACAAACTTCGAAGATTTGCTCAGTGAGGTCAAATCCCATGATATCTTTACTTACAGTTGCAAGATCTTCTCTGACAAGAATTATCACACCTTCTCCTTGGATTGAGTTTCTACAACAATACCTCACAATGCTGTATTTTGTATTTGTGAATTTTAATCGACTCAATTTTTTCATTTATTAGCCAAGTCTCAATTAAGCATAGCACTTCAGGATAATTTAGCGAAGGAATGAGCACATTCATGTTGTCACTTAAACTGGTTTTATAATTTTAGCGTTATAATAATAATTACCGTATCTTGCAATCTTCCAATAAACGGTCGATTTGTTGTTTTATTGCAATTTTATAATAATGTCTTTATCGGAAATCATCACATATTTATCACGTATTATTTCGTCTTTTAGGGGGAGTAAATTTTTTTTAGATCTTATGAGGAGTTCACTTAAGGAAAGTTCTGATTTAATCCATGGTACAAGAAGACATGGTATGCTACGTCACATTGCCTTGAAACACTCTTCTGACAACTTCAAAAGTTGTCAAATGTCAATTTATCAATGATATGTGAGGTTAGAACGGAGGTTAAGATTCTAAGGGTGGTGCTAAGTTGAAATCAAATGATAATAAATGTGTTCAAAATTTAGCATCGTTCGTTGATAGTGATAATACGAACATGCAACAAGGCAGAATTTAAAGTTGGCGGTTGTAACATCCAGATGACGTCACACAAAATACGCCCCAGACAGTTTCTACATTGCATTAGGTTATTTAAGACATTTCTGTTTAGACAGTCTGACACAACTTGTTTCAGACTGCAGCTTGCTCACTTGTTAAATTTTTGGAACCACTGACTTCGCCAGCTGACTTAGGTTTTTCCACGCTATTGATTTGGTAGCGTGAAAGTTACTACAAAACTGACAACAGGTCCGAATTTTTGGGGTGTTTTTTTTTAGAGATCCTGTTATGATCCTGTCAACCTGTCAAAATCATATTTGATCAGATTGATGCTATTTATTTCGATGGTGTGTGCTTAGGGTATTAATGAAATATTATGAAAACGCTCAAGTTATTCCATACACGAACTCACAAGTGAAAAAATCGTAACATACAGTAAATTCTGACAATGACCTTTTTCTTGCCTCCTGGTTGAAAAACAAATTCAAGTCATGAATGGTACAGCAGTTGAAGAAGGGTCAGTGACTGACAGAAGACCGCTAATTACCTGTAAGTTTTTCTATTCATGTAATTAAGACACCACATTTCATTTGCTGTTGATAGGTGCGGGTGAATTGGAAGTATTTTCAACCTTCGAAGACAGCTTATTTCAAGCTCTTCCTCAAGATTCTTGCGAATGGAGACGGTCATTAGGGCGCCCAGTTCGATCAGTGCACATCGGTGCAAATTTTGCTCCATTTAGTGCTTTGGCATTGCCTAAAGGTAATCAATGGGACCTGATCAGACAACCACTGTTTCACATTTATTGGACTGAATGCACGGTAATGTGTTTGTAATTTTCAACAAATACTATAAGTTATGTACTGTAGGACGTTGATTTGTATAAAACAACCGTTCGAGATGATATTGAAAACTGGTTGAAAGAGTTAACATCTAGGGACATACCAGATTTTCTTATTGTGGTTGTAGAGAACTACGATGGAAAACGTACTAATAAACTGTTACCAAGGACTACTGTGTTGGATAAAATTCGAACTGATTTTGCTCCAAAACAGGGTATGAAAATATGTACTTGTTAAAACAGTAGACTCATAATAGTGGCTGTTGACAGGTGATAGGTGTATATCTGTGATAAATCCTGGAAAGGTAGAGGCACGTTCAGCTGATTCATGGCGAGGTCTAGTTGCTAGAGTAAGACATTTATTATTAGTAGCTTATGCCAGGGCCGTGTCAAGGCTTGAGGATCATATAAGACAACAACGAGAAAGAAGAAATGAAATTGGTTGGAATTTTATGCAATATTTTCAGCTACAAGTACATTTTATTCTATTGTTTGATTCACTATTATACCTGCAATAAAATTACAGGAAGAATTGGCTCACGTTTTAAAAATGTTAGGTTTACATGAAGAAGCTTTGGTGCAATATGATGAATTAGATGCTCTCTTTTCCCAGTTTGTAGTCAATGGAATAACAGGCGAGTCCATTAATTGGCTCGTTGATTTCCAGAAACCCTTAGAAAAATGGCATGGCTTAAAATTAAATAACTCAATGGTGCTCTCTCTCAGTCCATCCCTTTTAGAGTTAAGAGCATACTTATTTGCAAAACAAGCTCAAATGTTATTAAAGGCTAATAAAGTTTGGGAGGTGAGGGTAAAGTGATTAGTGTGTGTACAGATTATTTATAATCTAGTTGTAGATGGCTTCAAGGTGTTTACCGTTTCTTCATTTAACTACTAGGGAATTGACTGTTCTAGAAATTAGTGCACCACCTGGTGCCATATCATGTTGGCTGTTTTTAGCCTGCATGGAAGTTTTACGAATTTGCGACAAATTTAACAGTGCTGATGCAGTTGAAGATTATTCGCTGCATACAGCGTGTTTGTGGGCCTACGCGAGTCAAAAAGTAAGTTTAATTATGTATTAAAATAATTATTATTTAAACTATGTTTTGAATATGCACTGGTCTCTTCAAAATCTCCGTTGCGAGGCGCTCAAGAACGTAAAAGCTATTTACAGTTGTTAGTCAAACTCTTTTCAGTTCTGCAGTTTGAATTATAGAAAATCAACTCTTTGTTCTACAGTAGTATAAACTATATGTTTGCAATCTGTACAGACTGCTACTACCAATAGAACCGATGAAAACCATTCCTGTGAAAAAGCGGAAAAATATTTACTCTCATGGTAAAATCCCAGAAAAAGTTAAATTTATTTGTTCTTGTTTTATTGTGCTACAGTACTACATAAAGTCGGATTTAGAAACTTGTTGTTGACGTTGAAGTTCCCGTTGCAGTTACTATTCCCGCTGACGTTGCTTTTAAAGCTGAATATTGTCCTTTATAAACTCCATTGCCAAGTTTCCGTTGATAGTAATTTTCTTGTTGTTGAAATAAGTCTACACACATTAAGAAAAAAAAGGAAAATGTAGCCCCGCCCACCCGCCCTATCTCAATTGTGATGATTTTTTTTATTCGTCGTGACCCAAGAAGGCGGAGCTTAACTGCAAAATCGTTATTTCTCTGCAAGAAATTAAAAACATGTTTTTGAGTATAGTGTTGTTCAAAGAATACTATATATATATAAAGAAAAAAATAAAGTCGAAGATTACGCCTCACCCATACACGCCCCAACTCAATTCTCAATTGTGATGAATTTTTCATTCGTTGTCAAATCAAGGGACGGTGTTTAATTGCAAGATCCATATTTGTCTACAAGAATTTACCATTTTAAACATGTTTCAAGTTTCTTGTTCTGAAAAGACGACTACTTATATTAAGAAAAATGGCAAAATATAAGCCCCGCCCACCCGCCCTGTCGCAATTCTGATGTTTTTTTTATTCGTCGTAAAATATGTTCTTAAGTAATCGTGTTATACAAAGAAAACTAAATGTTTTACTCATCCGTCTCGATCTCAATCGTGATAAATTTTTCATTCGTTGTAAGACCGAGGGGCGGAGTGTAATTGCAAAATCGATATTTCCCTGTACAAATTTACCCTTTTAAACATGTGTTAAGTTTCTTGTCCATTTCTTCTTAATATACGAAATCTTTTTTTCCCAACAAGAAACTGAAAACATGTTATTGAAATAAAACTTTTCTTAAAAAAAAGATTAAACAAGAAAAGACGTCTACGTATATAAAGAAAAAGGAAAAAAAAAACCACCCACCCGCCCTATCTCAATTTTGATGATGATTCTTTTATTCCTAATCAGACCGAGGGGCAGAGTTTAATTATAACACCAAAATTTCTCTAGAAAATTTTACCCTTTTAAAAACATATTTCATATGGTAATTTCTTGTAGAGAAACGAGCTCACGATGTATAAAAAATTCATCACAATTGAGAAGGGGTGGGTGGGCGGGGCTTATATTTTGTCCATTTTTTCTCAATATACGAAATCCTTTTTTTCCCAAGAAGAAACTGGAAACATGTTAACTATCATCCTGTTATTGAAATAAACCTTTATATTAAAAAAAAAAAGATTAAACAAGAAAAGACGACTAAGTATATAAAGAAAAAGGGCAAAATAGGAGCCCCGCCCACCCGCCATATCTCAATTGCGATGATTTTTTCATTCCTAATCAGACCGAGGGGCGGAGTTTAATTGTAACATCAATATTTCTCACTACCGCAATTTGATTGGCTGAAAACCCAACGTCAACGGTAACGTAACGGCGAAAGTTAAAGTGGGATTTATAAACTTACTGTTGAAGTTGAGGTTGCCGTTGCAGTTGCTGTTCCCACTGACGTTTATTTTAGAACTGAAAATTTGTCATTTATAAACTCTGTTGCGAAATTGGCGTTGATTAACTTTGATATTCAACTTTCGCCGTATTGAAAGGGGTTGTAAAAGAAAAATAGAGGATTTAAGTTGATTACTACAATAATTTACACTTTTAAACATGTTTTAATTTTCTTGTTGTCAAAATAAGTCTACACATTTTAAGAAAACAAAGGCAAAATGTAGCCCCGCCCACCCGCCCTATCTCAATTGTGATGATTTTTTTTATTCGTCGTGAGCCAAGAAGGCTGAGTTTAACTGCAAAATTCTTATTTCTCTACGAAAAATTAAAAACATGTTTTTGAGTATCGTGTTGTTCAAAAAATACCATGTATATTAAGCCCCACCCATGCTTGCCTTGATCTAAATATGTAGTAATGAAGATTTCATTTGTTGCCAGACCTAGGGGTGGAGCCTAATTGCAAAATCCGTATTTCTTTACAAAAATTTATTATTTGAAAAATGTTTTAAGTTTCTAAGAATAAAAAAAATATCAGAATAGAGATGGGGTGGGTGGGCGGGGTTAATATTTTGCCTTTTTTTCTTAATATACATAGTACTTACTATTTGAACAACACGATACTCAAAAACATGTTTTTCATTTCTTGTAAAGAAATAATAATTGTGCAGTTAAGTTCCGCCCTCTTGGTTCTCGGCGAATAAAAAAAAATCATCACAATTGAGATAGGGCGGGTGGGCGGGCTTATATTTTGTCTTTTGGTTTCAATATGTAATGAATCCAATCAAGGGGCGGGGGTTAATTGCAAGATCCATATTTGTCTACAAGAATGTACCATTTTAAACATGTTTCAAGTTTCTTGTTATGAAAAGACGACTACGTATATTAAGAAAAAAGCCAAAATATATGCCCCGCCCACCCGCCCTATCTCAATTGTGATGATCTTTTTTTTAATCGTCGAGAGTCAAAGGAGCGGAATTTAATTGCAGAATCCTTATTATTTCTCTACAAGAAATTACCATGTAATACATGTTTTTGAGTATCGTGTTATTAATTTTATTAAAATCAAAGATTAAGCCCCACCCATACCTCCCCTGATCTAAATAGTAGTTTTCATTCGTTGAAAGACCTAGGTGCGGAGCCTAATTGCAAAATCCGTATTTCCTTACAAAAGTTTACTATTTTAAACGTGTTTTAAGTTTCTAGGAATTAAAAAATCACCGCAATTAAGATGAGGTGGGTGGGCGGGCCCTATATTTGACCTTTTTTTTTATACACATAGTACTTTTTGAACAACAATATACTCAAAATCACGTTTTTAATTTATTGTAAGGAAAAAAATATTTTGCAGTTAAGCTTCGCTCCCCTGGTTCAGGGCGAATAAAAAAAATCATCACACAATCATCTACACATATTAAGAAAAAAAAGGCAAAACTTAGCCCCGCCCACCCACCCTATCTCAATTGTGATGTTTTTTTTTTTATTCGTCGTGAGCCAAAGGGGCAGAGCTTAACTGAAAAATCTTATCTTTCTACGAGAAATTAAAAACATGTTTTTGAGTTTCGCGTTGTTAAAAAAATACCATCTACAATCGGTGGACATATAAAACTGGTACAAACTGTCATAAAAATTACATATAAGGAAAATGAAAAATTCATCTTGTGTAAATCTGTCTTTTTGACGTTGATGTTATGTGCCAGATGGATAACGCATGTTTGACCAGCAACGGTCCCGGAAATTAAGCTTGATTCACATTAGGAAAATTTTCTTTTTACCAGTTTTATTTGTCCACCGACTGTACATACATTAAGAAAAAATGGAAGCCGAAGATTAAGCTCTGATCTAAATATGTAGTAATGAAGTTTTCATTCGTTGCCAGACCCAGGGGCGGAGTCTAATTGCAAAATCCGTATTTCCCTACAAAAATTTACCATTTGAAATGTGTTTTATATTTCTAAGAATAAAAAAATCACCACAATTGAGATGGGGAGGGTGGGCGGGGTTACATTTTGCTTTCTTTTTCTTAATATACGTAGTATTCTTTGAACAACATGATACTCAAAAACGTGTTTTTAATTTTTCGTAAAGAAGTATTTTGCAGTTAATCTCCGTCCCCCTGGCTTACGACGAATAAAAAAAATCATCACAATTGAGATGGGCGGGTGGGCGGGTTTTTTTTGTTTTAGTATGTGTAGACTTCTTTTCACAACATGAAACTTAAAACATGTTTAAAATGGAAAATTTGTATATGTTTTAAGTTTCGTGTTGTGAAAAGATAGCCATGTATGTTAAGAAAAAAAAGGCAAAATATAAGCCCCGCCCACCCTCCCTATCTCAATTGTGATGATTTTTTTATTTGTCGTGAGCCAAGGGGGCGGAGCTTAACTGCAAAATCCTTATTTCTCTACGAGAAATTAAAAACATGTTTTGAGTATCGTGTTGTTCAAAGAATACTATGTATATTACAAAAAACAGAACAAAATATAAGCCCCGCCCACCCGCCCTATCTCAATTGTAATGATTTTTTTTATTCTTAGAAACTGAAAACACGTTTAAAATGGTAAATTTTTGTAAGGAAATATGGATTTTGCAATTAGGCTCCGCCCCTAGGTCTGTCAACGAATGAAAAATTCATCACAATTGAGAATTGAGATCGGGGCGGGGATGGGTGAAGCCTAATCTTTGGGTTTATTTTTTCTTGACATATATAGAGGAGGAGGGGGTAATTGTGGCCACTACGTCTAATAGTGGACGCAAGTGCTTTTTTTTTCTTTAATGAGTGAATAAAATCAAAAAACAATTTATTAAAAAAAATAGGTTAATAAAACAGATCAGATGTTGCATGTTTTTAAGTAACAGTTTAAAATCATTTAAAACAAAAAAAATAATATTTTTTTTTTAATAATTTTTTGTCCACTATTTCCCCCTGGGGGTAATAGTAGACCAAATTCAAAATCACTGTTATATGCAATATATCAAATTTGTGGTTAATAAGGGACATTATAGGAAAGTCTACAATTAATTTGGTTTTTTATTTATTTGAATATCTTTTTATTTAAAGAAGTAATAACGTTTTCAAATTTGAAAAAATAACATTGCAATTTAAATTTAACTCTTTGGCACAAAACAAACGCAAACACCTTTCAAATGTGAATAAAACTAAACAAATATTTTATAAAGTTTTTATTAAACAAACAAATAACTCAAAAAAATTGATTTAACCAAAAAATTCTAAAGTTTCATCAAAAATATAACGTCCCCTAACAATGTCAGGTTTTGGTAGAAGTGACACGATTTGTTCTAATCCTATGTCCACGACATCAGGAACTACTGGAAATATATAAACGTTTCTTTTTTCTTTGTAGATTCGTAAGCATGACACCTTATAGATATTTTTTGATTCGTTCATTTCCGTAATCTGAGCAACAAAAGTCTTTGCTCCTACGTGTAAATTATCTAAATTTCTGATACTTCTGGACTTTCCCAGTGTTGATCTAGGGACGTTATATCGTTCCGAGACATCTCGTAAGGTACTTCCCCTTCTGACTTCAGCCAATGCAAGCTTTAAAACACATAATGAGTAATTTACTCTTTTATTTTGTTTCGTATAAATTCTCGGCATCTTTCTGTAAAGAAAAGCATATTTTTTTGTATGTCCACTATTACCAAACTACTTTATAAATTTGTGTCCACTATTACCCCACAATTTGGCAGTGTGGAGGGTAATTATGGACACAGGATATTGTGAACATGCCTTTAAGTATCTCCACTTTACCTGGCTCAAACATAACCTCAATGTTTTAGGTTTGAACTCTGAATATTTTATGAAGCAACGATTTAACAGTTCTCGAGAATACAACTATTTGTTAAAATAGAAGGAGGTTTGACAATGAAGTTTAAATACAAGCATGTGTTTGAATAAGATATTAAGTATAAAAAAATTAACTTATCTGCTCTAACTTTTATACAGACCACAAGCTAATAGTAAAGAGTAGTTCACATCGTATACTAACATTTTAGCGCCAATATCAAAAATTGTGTCATCGAGGTCCACTATTACCCTCTTCCACTATTAGACTCCGTTCCCCTAGTTTTCTTTCAACAACATGATACTTAAAAACATGTTTTTAATTTCTCGTGGGGAAATAAGTATTTTGCAGTTAAGCTACGCTCTCTTGGCTCACGACGAATAAAAAAAATCATCGCAATTGAGATGGGCGGGTGGGTGGGCTTACATTTTGTCTTTTTATTTTAATACGTGTAGACATCTTTTCACAACATGAAACTTAAAACATGTTTAAAATGGAAAATTTGTATTAAAAAAAATAGCGTTAACAGCTTCAGTATTTAATATTCGTAAATTATTGCAGTTTTTCTGAAAAAAATACATATATATTTTTTCTGACTAACGTTCGCTAATGCAACTTTACATAAAATTGGGTAGTATGTTGAATTAGATTGTTCAGAATAGGATAATAAATGAAATAAGTGTGTCAAAAATAGATTACTTACGTAAAAACGTGTTTAGAAAACAAAGCCCAGCATTTAACCAAACTGATACACGTGTCCTTGCAAAAATGTTGATGACGTCATGTCAAAATTTTGTAATGGAAACACTCACGTAGCACGTTTCTTTACCTTTTACTGGAATATTACATACATTTATCTTTATTTTAACTTCTAATGGTTGCCATAAAAAATAAATAAAATTCGCAAAATCAAAAATATTTTCATTTGAGCTGGATTTGATGTACTGTACTATACTGAATAGGCGAGGGAAGTTCTGTCGAAATAATCTTCGACCATTTTTTTTCTTAAATGTAGACTTCTTAATGGAATTATTACTGTATAGTAACTTATTAATACTTTATTTCAACGCCAAAATAGCTTTAAGTACATGGATTTACAAAGAAGGAGGATACATAGAGTAAAAAATACACACACCTATAATTACCTACATAAGAAGAAGAATTCGTAATTTATGTTTAAAAGAGTTAAATGAAGCATAACAAAAGAAATCAATTTCATTGTAATACAAGTTAGAAACATTCAAAATTTCATGTAAAGGTGAAGCTTTAACATAATTAGTTACGGCAAAATCAATATAAAATAAAGACTTAATCCTAGTCAGATGTTGGGGCACTCTAAATTTGATCATGTTAAGTAGATCAGGCACATCAATAAGGTTATTAAGCAGTTTATAAATGAAGCAAATACTAAAATAAGTTTTCCTAGTACAAAAGGTAGACAAATGAAGGTAAGACAGCATAAGCTCTAGAGAACAATTTATATTTGAAGATAATCTAAACTTGACAAAATGTAAAAATTTTTTTAATATCGAATCAATACGCTCCAGGTGAGTTTTGTAATGTGGAGCCCAAATTATACATCCATAGTCAATAATGGGTACGACTAAAGTTTTATATAAATGAACAATAGTTGTATAATCAAGGAAGTCTCTTGAATACCTTTTGATGCATCCCAGTACCTTACTTGCTTTGTTAATAACATGATCAATATGAAAAGAGAAATTCAGCTGACTATCAAGAAATATACCGAGATCCTTAACACAGGGCACAGATTTTAAAACAGTATTGTTAATTAAGTAACGAGGAATCGGTTTATTTTTTTTCCGAGTAAAGCATATACTATAACATTTTTCCAAGCTTAAATTCATGCTATTCTCAACACACCAACGATATAAACTGTTAAGATCTGCTTGCATTAATTCACAGTCACTGTTACTATTAATATTAAAAAAAATTTTCAAGTCGTCAGCAAATAAACTGTAATTGCATTTAAAATTCTTTCCAACATCATTGATAAATAAACAGAACAGAAATGGTCCCAAAATAGATCCTTGAGGAACCCCCGAAGGCACACATCGTCTGTCAGATAAGATACTTTTGATTTTAACCTGCTGAGTTCTACTATCCAGATAACTACCAAACCATTTAAGGAGAGGGTCAAAGACTCCGTAAGCAGCTAATTTTTGTACTAAAATATAATGATTGACTTTGTCAAATGCCTTACAAAAATCACTATAGACGGCATGAACCTCCAGACCATTACCCATGGATTCAAGAATAGAATTTACATAATGAAATAGATTAGTGATTACAGAGCGCTTTGGAAAGAACCCATGTTGACATGGAGAAATTACAGATTTAAACAAACGAAATAGTTTCTCTAACACAATAGATTCAAACAGTTTACTTATAGTAGATAACAACGAAATTGGACGGTAATTATTGATACGATTTCTAGCACCATTTTTGTATACTGGGACTACAAACGCGTGTTTCCTTGTATCAGGGAATACTCCTGATGAGAGAGAAAGATTAAATAAAATTTGCAAAGGCAAGACAAGAGCTTCATGACACATTTTTAAAAATTTAGGTGGCAGTCCATCAGGCCCGGGTCCCTTATTAACGTCTAACTTACTAAGAGCATTTTCAATTTCAACAAGACTAACAGAAATAGATCCAACATTAACAGACTTATCAGGTAGCAAAGTACATTTCACAAAATTATTGAAATCAAATGCAGTAAAGAAGTATTCATTAAATGCATCACAGATGGCTTTATCATCACTTAAAATATGCAAGTCCTGAGATAACATAGGCGAAGGTGTATAATTAAGTTTAGATTTTTTGCTAACAAATTTCCAAAAAATTTTGAGATTAGACTTGAGATCATTTTCAATGCCAGCTAAATATATACTATGAGCAATCTTAATTTCAGTTTTACAACGTTTTCTTTGTGGATGAAATTTGAAAAAAGGTAAAAAAAAGTTGTAGACTAAAGTTGCTCTCTTTGACAATCAACTAAACACAAATGATAAAAATAAAAAAATCTTGAAATCGTCTTCTGTTGAGAAGTGCAAATTGGATTTTACAAGATTTATTTCCAGAGGCTCGACCTGTGGTTCCATAGTAATATTCATTTACCACATAGTTTTTTTAACTTTCAAGTCATGACGAAAACAATTTTGCTAATTTTTTCCGTCAGGTTATCAACAGCTTGTTAAAAAACTGCCTTACATCTAGTATTTAAATGTGGTGTTTTTCTTGCTGTCTGAATTTTCTCGACACTCACTGGACTCGACTTGATGACTGAATAATCTCGTTCCCGAAGGTGACCTCCATTTAAACCCATATTGCCTTCTCGATGTTTCGCCATCGAGGTCTTTCTCGAATCCATCGCGACTTCCGCTTGCAGGCTTGTCTTTTTACGAACGCTGCCCGGGTGACGTCATCGACGATGATTCATTATCGGCATACAGACCAGAAGCTCTCAACAACTTTCGACCACTTTTTTATCGTGCGTTGAACGATATTTAGCTCTTAATTTTTCTAATTAGTAAATTAAACTGGCGGGAAATCGATGGTTATTTAGTTTTTAGAGTTTTCTTTTTCTTTTCGTGTACTGTATGACCTAAAGACAAAATTATTGTTTTAGTTGCGAGACCTAGGTGAATTATGCGGTTTAATGCCCGGTGGTGCTCCAACTTCAGAACAACTTCATACCGTTGTGGGTTTGTCAGCTGGAATGGGAGATAATCCTGGTGCACCAGATTGTCCTTCTCCCACTGATAAACTGAAAGAGGCTCTTTGTTCTCAGGAAGCTTTCAACAAAACATATTTAGTAAGCACTATTTATATCGTACAATAAAATTAAAAATTTTTTTTTTTTAATTATTCGGTTTAGCTATATGTTACTAAATTGCATCGTTTGTTTAGGAATTGGCGGAATTAGCCATGTGTACGTACAAACACATCGGCCGTCTTCGTTCGGCAAGATTGGTGGGTCGCCAAGTTGCCTCGTTTTACGTTCTTCTCGGCGAAACTCAAACGGCTGCGGCGTTTCTTAGTGATGCCGTAAGAACATTCGAACAAGATAAATGGCACGAACTTTCTGCACAAACACAAATAGAATTAGCAGAATGTTACAAGAAGGCGAAAGACACAAAAAAGTTCATAAAAACGTGCGCCAACGTAGCCGCAGCTCTAGAAATAGATACTCTAATTCGGTGGGCTTACTTCGACGAAATGACCAAGTGTTTACAATTATTGGACAAACCTTTGGTAGTGCCTTTTAATGATATAATAAAAATTTCTAGTATCGCTTTAAAAAGCGATGCGGTCGTTCTACAGGATGGTATGATCACTTCGGAACTAGTGATCGAGTCGAATTTTCCCCGTGAGATTCTGTGCACTAGAGTCGTAATATCGATGGAACTAGAAACTAAAGAATGTCGGAAGAACGAAAAATACTCAAAGAATCGCACTCTCACGAGCAAACACTTTAAACCACGAGATCCTCTGTTGCAACGGCTGCAGATATATCGGCATTTGGATCATAAACAAGATAAACAGTTGGCGAGTGCGAGTGTTGTTTGCAAACAACCAGAACAAAAACGGAAAGACAGCGTCGTAGCGCCGCCGAAGAGCGATTTCACTTATTGTCTCGAGATTCACAACTTAGTAAGTTTAGTTTAGTAAGTTCTAGAGCGAAATTTAACGAACTTGACTAAAGTATTTACAAATCGCTGTAATTGCAGTATTTATATGTAATTGTGAATTTCAGCCACTAGTTATAACACCTGGAGTTAATGTCATAAGACTGAATAGACAAGCAAATAGCATTGGCAAGTATTTTTTGGGGCAAGTGGCATTATTCATGAAAAATATGCACCTTATTTCTCAACCTTTGACACCTCGTTTAGCATTTGAAGTGAGAGAAGAAGCTCCAGTTGTGAGGTTGCACAAAACTGATGCACCTTTGTTGTCAGGGTTTGAACAAATTATGAACTTAATAATAACCATTGGAAGTTATACAGTTGAACCGGTAAGTTTTTTTGTATTGTATGATAATTTTCATTAGTCAGGTAGAAAAAAACTTAAATCTGTTATTATGTTGTCGTAATTTTCTCTTGTTAAGGAAATGATCATTTAAATTTGAATGCGCCGCCGATAGTGATAACGAGATGCGTCACAATTGTGTCGTCTTTTGAAAAATTTTATGAAAAAATGCAGATAAAATATTAAATAACTTCACTGATATTAAAATATGTATCATATTAATTACAACTTTTTGTTATGTTTTAAAAATAACAGTGACTCGAAACTTTCGTCATATAATTTATTCCTTGATGGCGTCTGGATTTTGCCACCGGAAACAATTAAGACTACAAAAATTTTTAAATGAAAAATCCAGAAAAACGAAAAAATAAAAAATCCCAAAATTGAAACATCAAAAAATCGAAAAACGAAACAATTTTGCAATTTTTCAATGTTAAAGTTTTCAAGTTCTTGGTTTCCAATTTTAATCAAAATAAAATTTTGCAAAATCGAATCACTGAAACATTAAAAAATGCAACAATTAAAAATCGAGAAGTTGAAAAATCGACAAAACGCAACAATTCTGCAATTTTTCCATATAATATTTTTCAAATTCTCGATTTTTCATTTTTTAATTGTTCAACAAAAGGACAAATTTATTCAAACTGAACTTTTGAAAAACCGAAAAATTGTAACACTGAAACATCAAAAATAAAATAATTAAATATCGAGAAATTGAAAAAATCAACAAAAAGAAACAATTTTGCAGTTTTTTGATATAGAATTTTTCAAATTCTCAATTTTTACTTCTTTATTTTCTCAATTTTTCATTTTTTAATTGTTCATCAAAAGGACAAATTTATTCAAACTGAAATTTTGAAAAATTTTAAAATCAGAAAATTGTAACATTGAAACGTCAAAAAATCATCAAATTAAAAATCAAAAAATTTAAAAATTGAGAAGTCCAAGAATTGAAGAAATAAAGAAAAATTGAAAAAACCAAAAAAAATGAGAATCAAAAATTGAAAAATGAAACTAGAAATATCGAAAAATTTTAAAATTGAAAAATCGAAAAATTGTAATATAGAAACCCAAAAACCCTGATTAATTAAAAATCGAGAAAGTGGAAAATTGAAAAAGCGGAAAACAAAAATTTCTATAAATTAAATAATCAAAAATACAAAAAATTTTAATTTCAAAATCCAAAGATTTTAAAATGAAATATCGAAAAATTGAAAAATCTAAAAACGAACAAAATTGAGAAATTGAATTGGATAATTGAAAAATTGTAATATTGAAACCTCAAAATCCTGACAGTTCTGCAATTTTTCGATATAAAATTTTTCAAATTCTCGATTTTTCATTTTTTAATTGTTCAACAAAGGACAAATTTATTCAAACTGAACTTTTGAAAAACCGGAAAATTGTAACACTGAAACATCAAAAAATAAAACAATTAAAAATCGAGAAATTCAAAAATCGACTAAAAGAAACAATTCTGAAATTTTTCGATGTAAAATTTTTCAAATTCTCGATTTTTATTTCTTCAATTTCTCGATTTGTCATTTTTTAATTGTTCAACAAAAGGACAAATTTATTCAAACCGAAATTTTGAAGAATTGAAAAAATAAAGAAAACTTGAAAAAAAAAAACGAAAAAATGAGACTAAAGAATGAAACTTGAAATATCGAAAAATTTAAAAATTTAAAAATTGAAAAATCGAAAAATGAAAAAATCGATAAATTGAACAAGTGGATAATTGAAAAAACAATTGAAAAATCGAAAAATTGTAATATTGAAACCTGAAAACCCTGATTAATGAAAAATCGAGAAATTGAAAAAAATCAAGAAAAAAAACAATTTTGCAGTTTTTCGATATAAAATTTTTCAAATTCTCAATTTGTAATTCGATTTTTCATTTTTTAATTGTTCAACAAAAGGACAAATTTATTCAAAGGGAAATTTTGAAAAATTTAAAAATCAGGTAAAATTGTAACATTGAAACGTCTAAAAATGATCAAATTGAAATATCGAAAAATTTTAAAATTGAAAAATCGAAAAATGAAAAAATGAGAAATTAAACAAGTAGATAATTGAAAAATTGTAATATAGAAACCTAAAAACCCTGATTAATTAAAAATCGAGAAAGTGGGAAATTGAAAAAACGGAAAACAAAAATTTCTATAAATTAAATAATCAAAAATACAACAAATTTTAATTTCAAAATCCAAAGATTTTAAAATGACATATCGAAAAATTGAAAAATCGAAAAATGAAAAAATTGAGAAATTGAATTGGATAATTGAAAAATTGTAATATTGAAACCTCAAAACCCTGATCAATTAAAAATCGAGAAATAAAAAAATCGACAAAAGAAGCAATTCTGCAATTTTTCGGTATAAAATTTTTCAAATTCTCGATTTTTCATTTTTCATTTTCTCGATTTTTTATTTTTTAATTGTTCAACAAAATAATTAAAAATCGAAAAATTGAAAAAATCAAGAAAAAAAACCCATTTTGCAGTTTTTCGATATAAAATTTTTCAAATTCTCAATTTGTAATTCGATTTTTCATTTTTTAGTTGTTCAACAAAAGGACAAATTTATTCAAAGGGAAATTTTGAAAAATGAAAAAATTAGAAATTAAACAAGTGGATAATTGAAAAATTGAAAAATTGTAATATAGAAACCTAAAAACCCTGATTAATTAGAAATCGAGAACGTGGAAAATTGAAAAAACGGAAAACAAAAATTTCTATAAATTAAATAATCAAAAACACAAAAATTTTTAATTTCAAAATCCAAAGATTTTAAAATGAAATATCGAAAAATTGAAAAATCGAAAAACGAAAAAATTGAGAAATTGAATTGGATAATTGAAAAATTGTAATATTGAAACCTCACAACCCTGATTAATTAAAAATCAAGAAAGTAAAAAAATCGACAACAACGAAGCAATTCTGCAATTTTTCGGTATAAAATTTTTCAAATTCTCGATTTTTAATTTTTCATTTTCTCGATTTTTTATTTTTTAATTGTTCAACAAAGGACAAATTTATCCAAACTGAACTTTTGAAAAACCGAAAAATTTTAACACTGAAACATCAAAAACAAAATAATTAAAAATCGAGAAATTGAAAAAATCAAGGAAAAAAACAATTTTGCAGTTTTTCCATATAACATTTTTCAAATTATCAATTTGTAATTCGATTTTTCATTTTTTAGTTGCTCAACAAAAGGACAAATTTATTCAAACGGAAATTTTGAAAAATTTAAAAATCAGAAAATTGTAACATTGAAACATCTAAAAATGAAAAAATGAGAAATTAAACAAGTGGATAATTGAAAAATCGAAAAATTGTAATATAGAAACCTAAAAACCCTGATTAATTAAAAATCGAGAAAGTGGAAAATTGAAAAAACGAAAAACAAAAATTTCTAAAAATTAAATAATCAAAAATACAAAAAAAATTTAATTTCAAAATCCAAAGATTTTAAAATGAAATAATCGAAAAATTGAAAAATCGAAAAACGAAAAAATTGAGAAATTGAATTGGATAATTGAAAAATTGTAATATTGAAACCTCAAAACCCTGATTAATTAAAAATCGAGAAATCGAAAAATCGACAAAACGAAGCAATTCTGCAATTTTTCGGTATAAAATTTTTCAATTTCTCGATTTTTAGTTTTTCATTTCCTCGATTTTTTATTTTTTAATTGTTCAAAGGACAAATTTATTCAAACTGAACTTTTGAAAAACCGAAAAATTGTAACACTGAAACATCAAAAACAAAATAATTAAAAATCGAGAAATTGAAAAATCGACAAAAAGAAGCAATTCTGAAATTTTTCGATGTAAAATTTTTCAAATTCTCGATTTTTATTTCTTCAATTTCTCGATTTGTCATTTTTTAATTGTTCAACAAAAGGACAAATTTATTCAAACCGAAATTTTGAATTGAATTGAAATATCAAAAAATTGAGATATCGAAGAATTGAAAAAATAAAGAAAACTTGAAAAAACACGAAAAAATGAGACTTAAAAACTGAAAAATGAAAAAATTGAGAAATTGAACAATGGGATAATTGAAAAAACAATTGAAAAATCGAAATATTGTAATATTGAAACCCGAAAACCCTGATTAATTAAAATTCGAGAAAGTGAAAAATTGAAAATAAGAATTAATTAAAGAAAAATTAAACAATCAAAAATACAAAAAAAAAATCAAAATTGAAACATTTTAAAATGGAAACCGGAAAACTAAAAAATTAAAATATTGTAAAAACGAAACATGGAAAAATTAAAAAATTGTAACATCGAAAAAACGAAACACTGAAAAATCGGGTAATTGAAAAGCCCAGAATTGTACACTTGAAAAAAATCCTATTAATAATTATTTGAAAAAAGTGAAAAATTAAAAATCGGGAAATTTAAAAATGAAACAATTAAAAAATTGTAAATTTGAAAAAAAAAATAAAAACGTCAAATTGAAAATTTTACTGAAAAATGAAACATCGAAAAATTAACAATTGAAAAAACCAAAAAGTTAAAAATCTCGAATTGAGAAAATAAAAAATCGAAGAAACAAAACAACTTGGAATTAAATTACATAGTTTAAAGTACTTTATTTTTAATTTTCCATTTTCTCAATTTTTCATTTTTTAATTTTTCAACAAAAGGACGAACTTATTAAAAGTGAAATTTTAAAAAATCAAAAAATCGGAAAATTGTAAAACTGAATAACTGAAAAATCAAAAAATTAAAAACTGAAAAATCGAAAAAGAAACATTGAAAAATCGAATAATTAAGAGGTCAACAATTGAAAAAGGAAAAATTGTAACCTTAAAAATGAAAAAACTGAAAATTTAAAAAACAGAAAAATCGAACAAATGCGAAATTGAAAATCAAAAATAGAAAAAACGAAGCTTGAAATACCGAAATATTTAAAAATTGCAATCTTAAAACTTGAGAAACTGAAAACTTCGATAATTGAAAAAATTGAAAAAAATGAAACATTGAACAATAAAAAAATTGAAAAGACAAAATGTTGAAAAAATAGCGAAAATAAAAAATCAGCAATTGAAAAATCAAAAAAAAAATCTCAAAATGGTAAAATCGAAAAAACGAAAAACTGTCAAATCTAAAAATTATAACATGAAACCTAGAAAAACTGACGAAATAAAAATCCAGAAAGTGGAAAATTGAAAAAACGAAAAACGAAAAACTGTCAAATCTAAAAATTATAACATGAAACCTAGAAAAACTGACGAAATAAAAATCCAGAAAGTGGAAAATTGAAAAAACGAAAAACAAAAATTTCTATACATTAAATAATCAAAAATACAAAAATTTTTAATTTCAAAATCCAAAGATTTTAAAATGAAATATCGAAAAATTGAAAAATCGAAAAACGAAAAAATTGAGAAATTGAATTGGATAATTGAAAAATTGTAATATTGAAACCTCACAACCCTGATCAATTAAAAATCGAGAAATTAAAAGATCGACAAAACGAAGCAATTCTGCAATTTTTTGGTATAAAATTTTTCAAATTCTCGATTTTGAATTTTTCATTTTCTCGATTTTTTATTTTTTAATTGTTCAACAAAGGACACATTTTTTCAAACAACTTTTGAAAAACCGAAAAATTTTAACACTGAAACATCAAAAACAAAATAATTAAAAATCGAGAAATTGAAAAAATCAAGAAAAAAAAAACAATTTTGCAGTTTTTCGATATAAAATTTTTCAAATTCTCAATTTGTAATTCGATTTTTCATTTTCTAATTGTTCAACAAAAGGACAAATTTATTCAAACGGAAATTTTGAAAAATTTAAAAATCAGAAAATTGTAATTTGAAACGTCTAAAAATGAACAAATTGAAATATCGAAAAATTTTAAAATTGAAAAATCTAAAAATGAAATACAAGTGGATAATTGAAAAATCGAAAAATTGTAATATAGAAACCTAAAAACCCTGATTAATTAAAAATCGAGAAAGTGGAAAATTGGAAAAACGAAAAACAAAATTTCTATAAATTAAATAATCAAAAATACAAAAATTTTTAATAAAAAAATCCAAAGATTTTAAAATGAAATATCGAAAAATTGAACAATCGAAAAATTAAAAAATTGAGAAATTGAATTGGATAATTGAAAAATTGTAATATTGAAACATCAAAACCCTGATTAATTCAAAAATCGACAAAACGAAGCAGTTCTGCAATTTTTCGGTATAAATTTTTTCAAACTCTCGATTTTTTATTTTTTAACAAAGGACAAATTTATTCAAACTGAACTTTTGAAAAACCGAAAAATTGTAACACTGAAACATCAAAAACAAAATTATTTAAAATCGAGAAATTGAAAAAATCAAGAAAAAAACAATTTTGCAGTTTTTCGATATAAAATTTTTAAAATTCTCAATTTGTAATCCGATTTTTCATTTTTTAATTGTTCAACAAAAGGACAAATTGATTCAAACGGAAATTTTGAAAAATTTAAAAATCAGAAAATTGTAACTTGAAACGTCTAAAAATGATCAAATTGAAATATCGAAAAATTTTAAAATTGAAAAATCGAAAAATTGTAATATAGAAACCTAAAAACCCTGATTAATTAAAAATCGAGCAAGTGGAAAATTGAAACAACGAAAAACATAAATTTCTATAAATTAAATAATCAAAAATACAAAAAATTTTAATTTCAAAATCCAAAGATTTTAAAATGAAATATCGAAAAATTGAAAAATCGAAAAACGAAAAAATTGTGAAATTGAATTGGATAATTGAAAAATTGTATTATTGAAACCTCAAAACCCTGATTAATTAAAAATCGAGAAATTAAAAATCGACAAAACGAAGCAGTTCTGCAATTTTTTGGTATAAAATTTTTCAAACTCTCGATTTATTTATTCAAACGGAAATTTTGAAAAATTTAAAAATCAGAAAATTGTAACTTGAAACGTCTAAAAATGATCAAATTGAAATATCGAAAAATTTTAAAATTGAAAAATCGAAAAATTGTAATATAGAAACCTAAAAACCCTGATTAATTAAAAATCGAGCAAGTGGAAAATTGAAAAAACGAAAAACAAAAATTTCTATAAATCAAATAATCAAAAATACAAAAATTTTTAATTTCAAAATCCAAAGATTTTAAAATGAAATATCGAAAAATTGTAATATTGAAACCTTAAAACCCTGATTAATTAAAAATCGAGAAATTGAAAAATCGACAAAAAGAAACAATTCTGAAATTTTTCGATGTAAAATTTTTCAAATTCTCGATTTTTATTTTTTGAATTTCTCGATTTGTCATTTTTTAATTGTTCAACAAAAACACAAATTTATTCAAACCCAAATTTTGAATTGAATTAAAAAATCAAAAATTGAGAAAACGATGAATTGAAAAAATAAAAAAAATCGAAAAAATGAGACTTAAAAACTGAAAAATGAAACTTGAAATATCGAAAAATTTAAAAATTGATAATTCGAAAAATGAAAAAATTGAGAAGTTGAACAGTGGGATAATTGAAAAAACAAATGAAAAATCGAAATATTGTAATATTGAAATCTGAAAACCCTGATTAATTAAAAATCGAGAAAGTGAAAAATTGAAAAAAATTAAACAATCAGAAATAAAAAAAATAACTTCAAAATTCAAAAATTTTAAAATGAAAACCGGAAAACTAAAAAATTAAGAAATTGTAAAAACGAAACATGGAAAAATAAAAAAAATTGTAACATCGAAAAAACGAAACACTGAAAAACCGAAAATTTTAAAACCGAGAAATCAAAGATTTCAAAGAATACAGAAACTGAAAAATCGGGTAATTGAAAAGCCAAGAATTGTACACTTGAAAAAAAATCGTAATAATAATTGAAAAAAGTGAAAAATTAAAAATTTGGATATTTAAAAATGAAACAATTACAAAATTGTAAATTTGAAAAAAAAATAAAAACGTAAAATCGAAAATTTGTAACACTGAAACCTTAAAAATTGAGAAATTGAAAAATCGAAAAAACGAAAAATTGTAAAATGATGGAAAATCGCAGAATTAAAATATCTGCAAATTAATTTTTTTAATTTTTCAACAAAAGGACAAACGTATTAAAAGTGAAATTTTAAAAATCAAAAAATTAAAAACTGGAAAATCGAAAAAGGAACATTGAAAAACCGAACAATTTAAAAATTGAGAAATCGAAGAACTGCAAAAATAAAGAAACTCAAAATAGAATAATTAAGAGGTCAACAATTGGAAAAGGAAAAATTGTAACCTTAAAAATGAAAAAACTGAAAATTTAAAATACTTGAGAAACTGAAAACTTCGATAATTGAAAAAACAACTGAAAATTTAAAAAATTGAAAAAAAAAACTGTAAAATCGAAAAACTGATTAATTAAAAATCCAGAAATAGAAAAATACGGAAAACAAAATTTTCTAGAAATAGAAAAATCGACAAATTGAAAAAACGAAACATTGAACAATAAAAAAAAATTAAAGTACCGAAATGTTGAAAAAATCGACAAAACAAAAAACTGTCAAATCTAAAAATTATAACATTGAAACCTGACAAAACTGACGAAATAAAAATCGAGAAACTGAAAAATCGACAAGAAAAAATTAAAAAAAAAAATGCTCAAACCACACAGATGAAAGCAATAATATTCGACTTTGGGCCAGTTTGAATTTAGCGCCGATGTACTTTGTTGTGTTTGGTCGGCACGGGTGCGGAAATTAATCATTTGGACAATGTTCAAAACATGGAGAAGATCATAAGAACCCTGGATCTACACACAACCTCATTTACCATGATTTTCGAAAACTATGCTAAAAGAGTTGTGAATCATACTCTAGATTAGTGTCACAGGTGAAGTAGGAAGGTGTTTATGATTTAAACCTTAAAATTTTATCTATAAGCAACTACTACTACTAAACATATTCAGTAATTTTTTATTGGAACCGAGATGTTTTGGAACTTTGTTTTTCCCAGGTTTATGGTTAGAATTTCATTCTCTTTAAATTCTTTCCGAATTCTTAATGTTGTGCCTGCAACCACTAGACTTTTTTTGTAAAATAATATTTTTTGATCTATGATGATTCAGGTCGATTTTACATAGATACTACATAGATAGGTTAAGTAAGCGTGACGCTGTAAACAACTCGCGGTTCGTTCAAATCTAAATGATTTTTTTCTAGTAGATTTTTAAATATTTTTTTTTATGTAAACACGTACTATTTCGTTTTATAGAATTCTAAAATCAAACTGACATCGTCTCGAGGGTTAACGTTCCAAACAAAACCTGTTGAACCATTAACAACCATGTTAGAAATCGAACTTGGGGAAAGGGCACCATTTACTAGTACTAGAATACCTCTCCGTGTACTAGCCGATCTGCTAACAAAAGATCATCAAGTATCCATTAGCTGTCCTTGGACTAACAAGCCTATTGTGGTTAAATTGAGCTTCACACCTCCTTTAACAACAACGTGGCGTTTACATACAGTACACCATAGGAAGTTTCTTCAAATTAATGTGACAAGCCAGTGCGACAAAGATATATACGTAGAAAAACCACAACTTATAGTGGGCGAATTTTGTAAAATTGTAGATCGAAATTCTAATTCTAGTCAAGTAAGTTATTACAAAAATACGGTGTATTAAAAATTTTGATATTTAACCATTCTATCAGATAATTCCTCATGGTTCGAGCTTTTCGTACATGTGGGAACTCCTCGCAACACCAAGTGCGCAAGCATCAACGATTAAAGGCGAATTCTCATTAGTCTACAGTTTTGATGGTATTGATGGTAGTAAATTGTACAAATACTATTTTGATATTAATGAATATCAGGTAAGTTACGACGATGTTTAATTCGAGTTCAAACTAAGTCGTTTTTCTTTTTAGACTCTATATATTTTAGAAGCAAGCGTAGAACCAACTAAAGGTAGCGAGTTTTGTCGAGATGGTGCTCTGTGTCATCTTCACTTAAAAATAACTAGTGTTGGTCACTCACTTGAACAAAATAATGTTCCCAAATCGGTGATGTACGAAGTTCTGGCGGAACAAAGTGTGTGGGCTGTTTGTGGCAGAACAGCTGGAGTTGTCTCTTTCGACTCGGATTCCGAACCCCAAACGGTGGTGTTAGATGTGATGCCTTTGACCAGTGGCTTTCTACCTTTGCCACTAGTACGAATATCAAAGTACATTCCGGCGGAAACTTCCGGTAAGTCTTAGGCTAGCTACATTTTGGTACTTAATTCAAATAGGGCAATTCCACGAAAATGTCAACCTCAGCACATTTTTTTTGAAAATTGTTAAATTAATCTAAATCTTACAATTAGTACTTCTAAAAACTTTAAATTTTACTGGCATATATTTGCTTTTACAGTACCATAACACCCGCAGTAAAAAATTCTTGTTATTGAGGAATAATAAAATTGTTCATCTCTTTCTTCTAATATATGTGATAATTCGTGCAAGTAACGATAAAGGACTAATTTTCATGTTATTCGGAAATATTAAAAATAATTGCAAATCAGGTTGCATTATCTCTTTTTCTCGTTCTCGCTCTCTATTTTCATTGTACTTTTATTGAAATTGCCTTGTGATTATTATTAAAAATCGCATCGTTACTTACGCGAAACAGGATAATTTTCTTTTGGTCGCTTAGCTTAGAAATTAAATAATTAGTCTTGACAGCCGTCAATCTACCAATAATTTGATTTTGCTGTGTTAATCAAAATGTCTTTAACATATATTGAAAGAGTAAGAAAACACCGACAAAAATTAAAGAGACTCAGAATACCTAAAATCAACCAACCGAAAATATCAGCAGGAATATAAGGCGAACATAAGCTCCACAAAGAAAAAAGACATTGCGCCAAAAAAAGTTAAAATGCCATGAAAATAAAAAGGAGAAAAGCGAGAAAAACCAAAATGAAAACAAACAAATGGAAATTTCAAATGATAATAATGTCAGCAAGTAAATAAATTGTAAATTCGGTAAGTTTGAATATTTTTTCTTTTAGCACTTGATCCTTTTACTTTAACATTACATACATTTGTTTATTTCAACTTATAAAGGTTTTCACAAAAAAATAAAATTTGCAAAATCAAATTTTATAATTTTCGAAAATGCTGGAAATGTTTCATTGTACTTCATGGGCGAGGCAATTTCTGTCCAAACAACCTTCGACCAACTTTTTCCTTTGTTTAAAACACGGATTTGCAATTTTTCTTACTTCCGTGACAGCTAATATTCACAAGTTCGAGTAAGAAACGATGACATCGTGTAAGTAACGCAATTTTTTCTCTTTTCAAACATAATCAAAATTAAACTTCTTCTCGGTTTTTGAAAACCCGAAAATTAAATTTTTTATCAATAAAACTGTTTTTGTATGATAATTCGCACCATAGAAAATGGAGAATATTTATCAATTCCAGAAAAGGCAGGTTCAAAGGTTTCGCGTAATTAACGCAAACTTTTAATTAAATTTTGACTAAACTAAATATGACTTTAGTAATATCAAATTATTAAGAAAAAAGAGAAAACAAATCTCTACGATTAGGTTAAAAAATGAAAGTGTAAAAGCACTTATGAGGACAGTTTAAAATAAAAAAACTTTGCAGAGTCCCGTACGATTTTAGCCTAAGTAACGGTGGAATTGTCCAATAACAACGTAAAAATTGAACTTTGTGTTTGAGGAATTTTAAAACATTGACGTTTTTACCAGTTCAATTAAAAAGATGTGCTTACTTTATTTTTATAACCGTTATTGTAAAATTTGGTTGTTTTGTGTTAGTTCTTCTTGGATTTTTTTTTTTTTTTCAAATTGACTGATTCATTAATTTTTTTGAGTCATCCTGTACATTGATTAAATACATACAGACCCATCCTATTGTTTGGACCCTAATGGCGCGCATAGGCAACCCCCATAACGCCACCAATGTTGTTGTTTAATCTACCACGCAAAAGAGGGCGACGAACAAATTTTGTAAGAATCTAACACAACTTTGCCGTTATTTCTAGTCAATTAGATTTTATTTCGTTTTGAAGTTTCTGATAAATAAGTGGGATTATTATAATGAATAAAAAATACAAACAAATTATCACTTGTTGTTTTAAATACTAGCTTGTTAGTGCTATTGAAGACGTTAAAATAAATGTATGGTTAAAACTAAAGAAAACACGATTATTATTTGAAATAAAAATAAATAATATCAAGAACTTGTCTTTTTTAACACAAATTATTAAAAAAAAATCAATACATTTTCAGTGACGAGTTATCGATATAATTGTACTTGCATCATAAAATGTGAAAAAAAAAGACTTATTTTCGACTTTATGCGGCATATTTTCCCCGTTTTTTTAGACATTAATGCATATATATGTTTTGCTTATAGTGTATATCTATCATGGCAAGTATTAGTCCCGCCCACCCATCCTTTATTTTCTTCGAGTATATGTCATTTGCCAAAATCTGTCTTAACAGGCAGTAGCCCCACCCACCCACCTTCTCGTTTCTTAGAGTATATGTCATTGGCAAAAATCAGTATTATCTTAGCAGCTACTAGCTCCGCCCCCCACCCCCTCTCTTTTCTTAGAGGGTATGCCATTTGCCAAAATCAGTGTTATCTTGGCAGCTACTAGCTAGTGGGTGGAGCTAGTGCCTGCTAAGATAAGACTGAAGTTGGCAAATGATTTAGTCTCTAAGAAAATGAAGGGTGAGTGGAAGGGTCTGGTACTTCTAAGATAAGACTGATTTTGGCAAATGAGATCACTCTAAGAAGAGAGGGCGGGTGGGCGGGGTTAGTTCTTGCTAAGATAAGCCTGAAGTGGGCAAATGGCTTATTAGTCTCTAAGAAAATGAAGGGTGAGTGGAAGGGTCTGGTACTTACTAAGATAAGGCTAATTTTCGCAAATGAGATCCCTCTAAGAAAATAGAGGGCGGGTGGGCGGGGGTAGTGCCTGCTAAGATAAGACTGATGTTGGAAATGACGTACCCCCTAATAAAATGAAGCATAGAGGATACCTATATCATTTGCCAAAATCAGTCTTATCTGGCCAAGTATTAGCTCCACCCACCCACCCTGTATTTTCTTCGAGAATATCTCATTTGCCAAAATCAGTATTTTCTTAGCAGGCAGGGGCCCCAACCACCCACCCACTCTTTATTTTCTTCGTAGATATGTCATTTGCCAAAATCAGTCTTATCTTGGCAGCTACTAGCTAGTGGATGGGGCTAGTACTTGCTAAGATAAGACTGATTGTGGCAAATGAGATCCCTCTAAGAAAATAGAGGGCGGGTGAGCGGGGCTAGTGCCTGCTAAAATAAGAGTGATTTTGCCAAATGACATACCCTCTAATAAAATGAAGGGTAAAGGATATATCATTTGCTAAAATCGACTTATCGTGGCAAGTATTGGCTCCTAAAAAAATATTGTAAATTTTGAGAAAACGCATTTAAATTCATTTTGCTTTGTATTTATCAGTAACAAAAACGAGCCCACCAATGCGTAAAAAAAATCGAATGTGTTACTTACATTTACTTTTAACAAGTATTTAAAATAAGTAATAATTTGTATGTTATATATTCATTATAATAAATCCCATTTATTTTTCAGGAACTTCTAAACGAAATAAAATTTAATTGACTAGAAATAACGGCAAAGTTGTAATAGGCTCATTATCTTAATACTTACTATGAGATTTTCACAATTTTCTTCGTCGCCCTCTATCGAGTGGTAGATTTAAGTATCGTTTTGTTGCTATTATGGGGGTTGCCTATGTGCACGATTAGGGCCCTAGCCACAGTATAGATATCAATCAGTAGGGACAACTCGCTATTTTTACTGACCCGTTTTCAGAGATATGTAAAAGACTATATACAGATATTTAATGTTCTCGTGGACATACGTTTAGGGCCAAGATGTCACTGTACGTTTATATCTCCCTCTTTTTCTCTAGCACGTATAATGGTAACCCGATATCTGAAGGTCTCGCTCTGTAGGGCGCAACCAATCAGTTGGCGCAACGTTTGTCGTTGATGCCGTTCTTGTGTTTGTGCCGGTCCCTGTCAGACCACTCAAACTGTGGGTGGTTATGATTATCTATAATTGCCGCCATCAGAACGGGCCAATAACAAGACAACCACCTTTTAGAGAGTGATCGATGTAGCCTACACTTGGCAATCCATAGTACTGGTGCTGATATATAGAAAAGGATAGGCGACACAAAGTATTGCTACTCTTAGATCATAGATGTTGATCTAGGGATCGGGAAAGCTATAACCACATCTGTCTTTTACATATCTCTGCCCGGTTGCATGGGTGGTCATTTGTCTTGTGACCGTATGAGGGCGCGCAACGCAACTTCTCTTTCTTACGCATTGGGACATTGAACTGCGGTACTTTGGTTGTCTAGTGACTTTAATGTGAAATATTTGAAATTTGGCAGTTTAGTTGCATTGGTTTTGATGATTTAAGGCTGATCTTCCGGTGTAATTATTGCAGTTAAGTGTAATTTTCACAGAGACATTTTAAAAAGCGTTGTTCACGTTTTCATAGAACTATTGTTTACTGTTTAATTTTTTTTGTTAAAAAATTAAATGTACATATATTAGCGTTTTCTAATAACGTTGAATTTTACAACCATTTACAGCCATCATGAAAAAGAAATTAATGAAACGTAAAATCGTAATCAGAGAAGCGGGCCACATCTAAATTTCAACACGGCATCTCTGTTATAGGGCGCTTAATTAATTATTTATTATAATAGACTGTGTGGTTTCTAAAATCAACTAGTTACAAAATGTTATTGTTATTACACTATTTTTAAGTCTTTTGCAAAAATTCATTTGCACAAAGTGTAGTAAATTGTGTACACGAATCAATTTTAAAATGAAGCGTTTGTGATCCTTTTTCAATTGGGTGGCGACATCTAGAAATATTTTGGGCAACGACTACCGACGACGGCTTAAAATTCGGGTCAGAAAGATCAAAGGCGCCGACACGAGTTGTCCCTACTGATTGATGTCTATACTGTGTCCCAATCGCACGCGTGTGCAACCCCCATAACGGCAACGTAGTTGTTGTTCAATCTACCACTCGACAGAGGGTGACGAACAAAATTTGTAAGAATCTCATAGTTCAGTTTCTACACTTTATCAGTACCTCGTAAAATTTTACTACCGCTACTTTGAGGGATTGTCGGACAATGCAGGG